TGCAATCCCAGGTAACACACACACACACAATATTAATGACAAATTTTGTCCTGGAATGTTCTTACTGTTGGCTTGGTGGCATTCAGGACATGTATTACATCGGGAAAACAAGCAACCCGCTTCGCGCCCGTGTGCGTGTCCAAAGACAACATATTAATTCACCGGAATATCGGCAAATCCCTCTAAGTGAGCATTTGGATCGCTGTGGAAATAAACAGTTTACTATATTTCCTTTTAACAAACTTTCAAATGAAAGCGACATCGAGAGACGCGAAAAAGAAAAACATTTTATACATATTTTCAAACCTAAACCTAACAATTTATCGTAATCGTTATCACAATTATACATATTGTTCTCATTCTACAAATTTCCCACATTGTTTAACCATGACGTCACTATAGACGAATTTGTGTTCCGCTTATTATGACGTTATGTTGTTATGTTGCTATAATGAAAGCGCTAAAGCTTTACTAAATGTTTTTGTGTTTCTTTTTTTAAAATTGTACCTATAATTTACCGAGCACTGTGGATTTATATATATTTCAATATATAACATTTTTGAATAAGTTTTCCTATTATATCACAAATGTAATAAGTTTCACTATAAACCCTGAAGAACCCTGAATCACACCGGAAACAGTTATGTCACACACCGGAAACAGTTATATCACCCGGCGGAAACAGTTATAACACCCTCCCGATCACTTTCACGTGTCTTTATGTTACGCATTTGTAGCTCGGGTTCGACATTTCATGACGTTGGTTGCTAAGCAAACGTAAACAACGAAGCGCAATTCTTAACGTCATGAAAGCATTTTTTGGATTATTTGCCTAAACTTAAATAATTCTAGACTATTTTTTTAATTTAAAAATGTTATATAACATATACCACATGACTTCTCGGGTGACAATACCAGAATGTCTGCCCCTCGGTGACATGAAAGTCCTGGAGTGTTATGTCACCCTCTGCCTTCGGCATCGGGTGACATAACACTCCTGGACTTTCCTGTCACCTTGGGGCAAACATTCTGGTATGTCACCCTCGAAGCCATGTGATATATGTATAATATATATATAGAGAGAGAGAGAGAGAGAAAGAGAGAGAGGATATTCATTGTTTTGTAGGTGGAAAAATTCCATATTCATCTATAACACATTGAATTTTCTGTTTATTACATTTTCTTTGATTTTCCCTTTGCCTTTGTCTTTTCTTAACACAGTGTCATAGGCTTGACGTCATAGTTGAACGGTTGAGACGTCATTGATATAGCTTAGAAGTTGTGTGTCAGATTGATAACTTTACATAGCATGGATTTTAGCAACATATTTAGGAAGAAATTTGCAGTTTTAGCTCTAGCAAGATGCTTAGTTACTATCTCTATCTTATGTCAGGCCAGAAATTATTTTTTACTTACTTTGATATCCTCTCACACTGTGAGAGAATATCATTTTTGGTATCCTTTCACACTGTAAGAGAGTATCACTTTTATTCAATAAATAAATCACAGTATTTCACTGTTTAAAATGTTATATATATATATATATATATATATATATATATATATATATATATATATATATATATATATATATATATATATATATATATATATATATATATATATATATATATATATATATATATATCCAAAATTGAAATAAAGTCTCAGTAATCGGATTACAATATTAAACAAATATAAAAAGAAAACACAAGAATCCTCCGTAAAGCTTTAGCGCTTTCATTAAAAATCTTCAGAAGCTTTACATTACAAAAATGTATACAACGGTAACATAGTAACATAGTAAGCGGAACGTTTAATGTCTATATTGTGACGTCATAGATAAAATACTGCAATGATGATGAAAAAGTTCGGGAAAATCATAGGAAGTTTATAAGAGACTATTAAGTTTTGGCTTTAGAATACAAATAAAATGTTTTTCTTTTTCCCGTCTCTGGATATCACTGGCACATCTGAGTTTATAAAAAGGGAAAATGTTAAATCGTTTTTTTCCACAAGTTTCAAGGTGTGCACTTAACTGGATTTGTCTATATTCAGGTGTACTGATGTGTTGCTTATGTACACGTACACGGGCACGGAGACTGTTGCCAGTTTCACCAATATAATATTCTTTGCATCCAGGACATATGATGGCGTATATGACATCTTTCGTATCACATGACATGTTGGCATTAACTTTAAATTCACGCCCGTTAAAACTATAACTCGTCCCTTCTGTAATGTAGTCACATGTGCCGCAGCGAGGGTCCGTACACTTTGACACTGTATAATTATGGTCAGCGAATTGGGAGGAACAAAGTATTCTCTTAATTCTATGGTTTACCTAAAGTTCACAAGTCTAAAATTATTAAGGACGCCATAGCAAATCAAAATAGTGTATGTATTACGTGTCTAGATCCAGGTGATTTATGCTTCAGACCCATTGTAGGAGGACCAAACTCATCAACACAAAGACTGAGTCACTTATTGGATATACTTTTAAAACCATATTGTCAAAAAGTACCCAGCTTTGTAAGAGACGATCTGGATTTCATAAATCATTTACCTACTCAGATCACCTGTAACACAAAACTTGTCACTTTTGATGTCGTTAGTTTATATACTAATATTCCTACAGAATTAGGATTGGAAGCTGTAAAATTTTGGATGGAAAGTTATCCCGATATACTAAATGACAGATTCCAACAGAATTTTATTTTAGAAGCACTTAAATTAGTTCTAGAAAACAATTCATTTGCTTTTTCTGACCATCATTACCTTCAAACTAAGGGAACTGCAATGGGGACGAAAGTCGCACCTACCTATGCAACATTAACCTTAGGTTATTTAGAACATAAGTTACATGAACAATTATGTTCGTTGTGGGGAATAGAATCTGCAAATAATATACAGTCTAAATGGAAAAGATTTTTAGACGACTGTTTTATCTTATGGGATGATGATGTCGACAAATTATCGGAGTTTTACGATCTAATAAACCAAATGAACTCGGATATCAAATTCACGATGGAAACAGATGATACGCAAATGCCATTTCTCGATGTTCTTATATCAAAGGATAATACCAGGTTAAATACGGATATATACTATAAGCCGACAGATACACACCAATATCTGCATTTCGGATCGTGCCATCCCCACCATACTAAAACGGCTATACCATATAATCTCGCAAGAAGGATCTGTACCATTGTGAGCAATATTAATACGAGGGATATCCGTTTGGAGGAATTAAAATTGTATTTATTGAGCCAAAAATACCCAGAGCAACTGGTAGATAATAGTATTATGAAAGCCAAGGAGTGTGATAGAACACAATTACTTTCAAACACACGACGTGCGAAGGACGGAGAAACTATACCCTTTGTTCACACGTACAATCCGAGAAATAAAAACATCAATTCAATTGTTTATGAATTAAATAGCTTACTTAGAGAGGATGAACAAACGAAAACTACATACAAAAACTGTCGTTTTATCAGCAGTAAACGTCAGCCTAAAAACCTTAAGAGAATACTTTGTTCCTCCCAATTCGCTGACCATAATTATACAGTGTCAAAGTGTACGGACCCTCGCTGCGGCACATGTGACTACATTACAGAAGGGACGAGTTATAGTTTTAACGGGCGTGAATTTAAAGTTAATGCCAACATGTCATGTGATACGAAAGATGTCATATACGCCATCATATGTCCTGGATGCAAAGAATATTATATTGGTGAAACTGGCAACAGTCTCCGTGCCCGTGTACATAAGCAACACATCAGTACACCTGAATATAGACAAATCCAGTTAAGTGCACACCTGGAAACTTGTGGAAAAAAACGATTTAACATTTTCCCTTTTTATAAACTCAGATGTGCCAGTGATATCCAGAGACGGGAAAAAGAAAAACATTTTATTTGTATTCTAAAGCCAAAACTTAATAGTCTCTTATAAACTTCCTATGATTTTCCCGAACTTTTTCATCATCATTGCAGTATTTTATCTATGACGTCACAATATAGACATTAAACGTTCCGCTTAGTTTAACGTCATAATCATTGTTACTATGTTACCGTTGTATACATTTTTGTAATGTAAAGCTTCTGAAGATTTTTAATGAAAGCGCTAAAGCTTTACGGAGGATTCTTGTGTTTTCTTTTTATATTTGTTTAATATATATATATATATATATATATATATATATATATATATATATATATATATATATATATATATATATATATATATCTCGAATCAACGTAGTAATGAAAATGAATATTATCAATTGATAAAGCGTCGTCGATATATCTAAATGTTGAATTGAAGACCACAGCAAGAGACTTATTTTTTTCATGTAGAAGTTTTTAAGATAAATTCTGCTTCCTATGAATACAAAAATAGGTCATGTTATAAAGAGTTTTAAGTCCATTAATTTTATCTATTGAAGAAAGGCATCATTTTATTAGGAAAAAAAGACCAACATAAAATCGCCTAAATTTACCTCACATTTTAGGCAACGGACTTTCTGTTATTTATTCCTTTAGAATCTTTTTAACCAAAAAGAAAAAAAAAATTCATTTTTCAAGGGGTAATTATTTATTGGGGGTAATTTTTTTCACTTAAGGTATGCATATTTTAAGGGTGATGCCATTTTTTCAACAGGCAGACAGTCATTTTTCACGTGGAATAATGACCGGGTTTTTTGTTTTACGCCAAATAATGACCAAAATAATGACCCAACGTTATTTTCGACGTCGAAAAATGCCCCCCCCCCCCCCCCCCCGGTTATACATGTACCCCCGATTATTCGTCTTTCCACCGAATCATTAACTCAGTGGAAGTACCATTCATTCATTCTCATAAATTCCTTTTTCCATTAGTTTTTATTATCATTTAGCTGTAATATATTCCTGACAAAGAGGCCGAAGGTTAAAAATTATCTTTTTATCTGAATGATAAAGTTATTGCTTGGTAAAGTGAGTGTCAGGTGTTATTTAAAGAGACAATGGCAAACGTGTCTTTGAAGTCTTTAATTATAGTGTGTTCACTGCCTTTCATCAGTGGTAAGATAATTTTTTTTTTGGCATCTATATTATTAAAATATTCTTTATATGATAATCAAGTCATGTATCTGAACCTGTATCAGCTAACAAGAAAACTAGTAAAATGGATTACTGTTTTCAAACGGTTTAATACTGAATGTTCCTAATTGTGGATCTTGAATAGACTTCGTCAATATTGTCAAAAATATTTCATTCATAAACAATAATATATCAGTACCATAAATAGGTGGTTTAACTTTTTAAGGTTCATTAACCCTCTGCTGATATAACTCTCACTGGGATAAATGATTTTTATTGTCAGGTTAAAAAGCCACTTCATTCAAATTTTGCCTCGGAAAGGCAAACTATGCTGATTTTATTTTAAAATCATAATTAAAATTTCTTCTGAAAAATCATATTAGTGTTCAAGCAAAATTTATATGAGTGAACAGAGGGAAGATGACCCTTAAAGAACCTTTCAATAATATATAGGATGCATTATTTCTCTAAAGCTCGTGGACAACAAAGTTTATAGTGTATGCATCCTCACAAGGTCAAGGTTTTGTGATTTCGGAACTCCACACAAACCTTTGACATAAGTCCTTATTTAAAAGTTGGGCTTTATAAACTAACCAATGAGAATATATTTCTCAAATCCGTCGTTTTCAAATGGCCCAACTCCAGAGCATATCTTTTGTGATTGTTAGGAGGACGATCTTCCAAAAATCAATCCCCGATTTTCATTTAATATAACTAGTCACAAATCCTACAATATCGACACTTTCCATTTGAAAGACAAGTCGTATTTGTTTACAAAACTTAACTACAATAAAAGCTGTTTTCTGATTGGTTCCAGTCCTAGACCAGGAACAAATGAAATACATGTAGTAGCTTTCCAGCCCAACATTTAAATAGCGACTTATGTCAAGGGTTTGTGTGGAGTTCCGAAATCACAAAACCTTGACATTGTGAGGATGAAGTGTATGCTTCTTTATTCTTCTCTACATCCAATTTATCGAATATTATTAATGAAAATCTGAAATAAGAGAAGGGTAATACAATAATCAAACAAAATATACCTGTATTGGAATAAAATTGTGATCAGACATTGAGGTTCATAAATATGACTTGAACAAAATTCTGAAAATAACAGTGAATCAATAGATCATTCAGATCCATTGGAACATACATGTATAAATACTAATGCCTTTATGGTTAATCACTTTTCATATTGCAGGTTGTTTTGTGGGATGGTTGGGGTTCCAGGACAAGTGTTACTTCTTTAGCCATACTACGGCCTCTTGGCCAGATGCGGGAGTAAGACGCTGCTTTCATAGCATGGATTCAAATTAAAACTAATTATGTATAATAATTTTATAATCATAGCGACCATAGCTTTTTTCGGAATAATGTATACGCATACAACTTTCAAAATAAAATTAAATTCCAACATATTATGATTTCTAAATTAGGCAATTCCTGATAAATGGTCAATTTATGCAATTTTATGGGTAAACCTATTAACAGAAAAATCGTTATATTAGCTAAATCTTTCATAATTGGACCTTTATCACTGTTTATCCGCAAATTATCGTTCTCAAAATTAATTTTTTTTTTATTTAATCATCCTATGCATATCAATTCCCACAAATTTAAACAATTCCAAGATGTAAACTTTGTTCGAAACAGAGCACTTGTGCACAGCTTGGTTCTAAACTAGTTGAGCCAAGAACAATGGAGGAGGCCAGGTTTCTTATCAGCCACAGTCAGAGTTTAGGTAAAGTAAGCTATTAGTACTTTACTTTCTCTTTTTATTCGCTAAGCATTTATCTAAGTGTTATGACGCAAATGTCTGCTCGCGAAAATTTCAATTCCACATACATTAATATTTTAGATTATTAAAGAATATGTACAACTCCTAAAATTCTGAAAATGTGGTCTCACTTATAAATACAAAATAACTATATCGCAAAAATAAAGCTTTTTTTCTACATTATACATGTTCATAACTTCATATTGATTAAAAGTTAAATTGGCTAAATTATAAATCATGCATGCAAATTCAGATCAAAATATGAAACACCAATGCCCCCGTATGTCAGCTTATGGCGAAGATTAAAGTTTCTTAAATGCAATTCAAACTCCAGATCAATAAAAATCTTGTTACCCAATGGAAGGTCTTTGTTCAGGAAATATAAATTAAAATATGACAGCCTACACACCAATCCTTAAAAAGTTATGGCCAAGGTTAAATTTTTTTGGAAAAGTAAGTCAAACGTCAAGGTCAATGTCAAATGGTCAAAATTAATGGAACCAAAAAGAAGATCTTGCCACTAGAAATACACATGTGAAATATTAAAGCCCTAGCACAAAACATTCAAAACTTATAGACAAGGTAAGAATTTTTTTAAAAGACGGCAAAACACAAAATTCAAGGAAAAAAGGTTAAAACTGTACTCAAGGGAAATTCTTATCACAAGAAATTTGCAAGTGGTATACGAAAGCCCTAGCACCAACCCTGCAAAAGCTATGGCCAAGGTTAAAATTTTAAAAAGTGCATCAAACTCCAAGGTCGAAGTCAAAGGGCAATAATTTTAGGTACCCAAGGGAAGGTTCTGTTACATGGAATACACATGTGATATAGGAAACAGTTTGTCATAAAACAGGAATACAGATGTGAAGTATGAAGGCCCTAGCACCAAATCTTCAAAAGTAATGACCAAGATTAAGTTTTTAAAAAGTGGGTCAAATTTTAAAGTCAATGTCAAAGGTTTGAAATTGTTGGTATCCAAAGAAAGACGTTGTCACAAGGAATTCACCTCTGAAATATGAAATTCCTAGTAATAACCGTTGAAAAGTTATTGCCAAGATTATTGTTTAAACACTTTGGTCAAGGTCAAAAATATTTATACAGGAGAAAAGGTCTTATCACAAGAAATGCTGATGTGAAGTATGAAAGCTCTAGCACCAATTGTTCATGGCGCAGGGTAAAGTTTGGTAAAATTTTGAGGAAAATGGTCAAACTCAAAGGTCAAGGTCAAGAGGTAAGAAAGGTCTTGTCACAAGGAATGCAGTTGTGAAATATGAAAGCCATAGTTCTAGCCAATCAAAAGTTATGGGAAAGGATTTTTTTTTGTGGACTAATAGACAGCTAGACAGACGGATGGACCGAGCAAAAACTATATGACCCCGAATCTTCGATTCCATGGGCATTAAAACTGTGTCTATATATATATATATATATATATATATATATATATATATATATATATATATATATATATATATATATATATATATATATTGGTGGGTGGGTGGGTGAGAGAGAGAGAGAGAGAGAGAGAGAGAGAGAGAGAATTTTTAGTATCTATGAATGTGGCCGTGTTGGACAAAGGAATGGATTCAGTACGTTGATCTTAATAGTCTTTAAATATATAGAAGAAAGATACTTTTAATATACATAATATTTCATAGTACCGATAAACAGCATACTTTTCACAATAAAGAGGTTAGTCTATGCTTTTAAGCATGTGCACTGTATGTCATAAAACATTCTGAAAAATACCACCCTTACAATCCACTTGACCTTTGACCTACTTTGCAAAAAATAACATAGACGGTTTAAATTTACTTACGTATTTTGAATTTTTGAGAGGCCGGGTATTGAAAATTAGTATTTATACATTTTATGAGCTCATGATACTGCACTTTGAAACTGTGTAAAATTCAGTTATCACACAAATTTATATTCAAATACTATCGAAGTACACCGGGATCAGTATTCATCAATGGATCGTGTGAGTGACAATTGCAGGAAAGACAGACTGAAGCCTCTTTTGTTGTTGTTGTTGTTTTTTTGTTTGTTTGTTTTTTGTTTTTTTTTATATTTTTGTATTTTTTGTTTTTTGTTTTTTTTTGTTTTTTTTTGAAACACATATTAATAAAATGAAAAATAACTATTTATAATAATTTCAGGTTAATTATTCAGTTGGGGGTTGGGGTACCGTATTTTATTTGATTGTCAGATTCTATTGTAGTCACACTATCCGTGGATTTTTTCCAGGCAAATGCATGAACTATAATGCTAGTAGAAAATAAATAGTTGACCCCTCTTAGATTTATTCACATCTTCAATGAAGCTACAAAGCAGGCAACACATGCGTTCCTTGGAACACTCTAGTTTTAATATCAGTACTGATATAAACTAAGATTAATTGAAAGTATTCTTTGAAATTCCAATTTTGATTGGACATATTTTACTTCAGAACTTTCTTCAATGCACTTAATGACCAACTTTTCTTACAGATAAAAGTTTTTGGATGGGGATGTCTGATTTAGTGGAGGAGGGTAGATGGGAATACTCCTCTACGCATGATCGTGTAACACTTGACTTGTGGCAGCCCGGAGAACCAAATGCCCATACGGAGGAAAACTGCATGGTCATGTGGCAGGCTTTTTATGGCAAATGGGGAGATTATTACTGCTCTAATAAGCTTTACTTTGTTTGTGAAGTCGATACTGGGTCAGTAGACGAGAATACGACATCATTTATTATAATTTGATAGTATCAATACTTAATTTAGTAGATATTATTTCCCCAGTTTTCATGATAATATAAAGTTCTTCGATCGTAGTTTTATATGCCTTGGAATAAAAAAATTACTTTAACAAAGAAAAAAGTCAACATATTGCTGAAGTACATTTTGCTAAATTCTCGTAAAGGCAATTGCTGGTAAGCATTCAATAAAAATATAAATAATCACTTTACTTAGATAAAAGGGCATTGAAAAAACTAACGTTGTAATTGAAAATAAGTACAAATATAAAGTTTCTCTTTTTTCATGGCAAAGACTGGTCAATCGACTGACAAAATCGCATGCTCCTGTAAATCCAAAAGAATATTCTGCGCCCCAGACACATTTCCTCCCCAAATTCTAAAAGGAATTTCATATTACTTTTTTGATTTTTCGCAATTACTAATGAAGTTTCTTATCTTTTCTCGTATCAGTCTCAAAAACAAATTGTTTCCTCCTCATACTAAATTACTTATTTTATATATATATATATATATATATATATATATATATATATATATAATCAAGATTAAATCCATATCTACGGAAGCGTATTAGTGCAACGTAATTGCAACTTTAATCTTGGCTACTTCTACTCTTACCGGAGTAAAATGTTGACTATTATGGCACTGTGGGGGTGTGCGTGTTAAAAGTAAAATTGTAAGAGTCTAATTACAGTTGAGTTTAAAAAAAACAGTTAAGCTGGAGAGTTATTGACGGAGATGAGCCATGAAGCAGTCAAGGCTCGGATCCATCACGGAAGAAATGGGTAGCATATTCCATTCCACTCCTTGATGGCACGTGGATAGAATGATTCCTTCCTCGCTGAAGTTCGGCATGAAGGTATTTGAAATATCAGCATGTTGTTGTTCCTTGACGTTCTTTCTTGGATATTAAGTTTCTGGCTAGTGCCACTCCGTACTTTGCTGTTAAACAGCTTGTACATAACACTGAAGCTGGGTGTTCTTCACCGCTCTTCTAATGATGGCCATTCAAGCAGCTGGTGAAGCAACTCGATGAGGATGAGGTGTTGTGATATCTATTGTGGACATACCGGACTGCTCTGGACTAAATCATTTCAATTTAATGAATATCTTTCTTTTCGTGAGGATTCCATACAGCACTGGCATACTCTATTTTGGTCGTACCGATGAATTACGATGGCGAACAAATTGAATAATTTCCATGAAAGAAATCAAATTGGGTTTCCATATATTTTCTTTTTGTAGTAGGTTACTCTGGTTTTAAAACACATATTACACCGTTCTGTCCAAGCACGAAACGCGTGGTGAACTTGAAGGCTGTCTCAACAGCCCAAAGATGTTCTCGGGTCTCATTTTTCTTACAAAGCAGGATAGTTTTTGGAACAAGAATAGCTCATTTGTCACAAATTGCCAAATCTAGGCAATAGGATTGGTGGATTAAAATTTCATTTCCCAGTATCAGCATGATTTCCATCACTAATTTGTTTCTCCGTCTTGGGTGCCTCGTGTATCCAATGCGGATTACATATGAACGCGTTTTCCTTAGTGATTGAAATTTTAAGGAATCAAGAATGATTTTGTTGTTAAGATATTTACATATTTCTATAACTACATGTATGACTAGACGATCTTTCTTAACAAACTGCTCAACTATGGACTCATCTCTTGTCAAACCCATCCTTTCACTGGACACCCAGAACGAACAACATTTTAAACCATATCCCTTCCTCCATAAAAACAATAATTCTAATTACTAATTAAACTTTCTGAAAGTTCTTTGTCACCGTAAACCATGTACAAATCATAATTATATATTATGACAAAGGATTTTCTAAGATTTACGTAAAACTTTACAGGCATTCTTTGATCGAGTACGACTGAGTCAACCATTTTCTGCTACAAGTCATCTACATATTGACGTCATTTTCATATTGTGATGTCATAAGGATGGAGAAAAACATTCCGTAACAAATTCTTTTCATAGAACACGTTTATATGTACATGTATGCCAAATTTCATTATTACCTGAATTGTGATTATGTATAGATACAGAGACAGTTTGCGAACTTTTTGATCACCCCATGTATATGCTTTCTCTTTGATGTTGTTGTTGCTAATGTTGATGTTCTTTTGAGAAAACGGCTGGTGCTGTTTGCTTTAGCACAGATGTTATTCAAGTGCTGGGTCCACTTCAAGTCTGACGATATGGTAGCACCAAGATATTTTGCTGAAGGAATATGCTCTAATTGGTGGCAGTGTAGAATTTAGTTCTTCTTTATGACTCTACGATTCTTGGTGAAAATAAGCAAATTACTTTTTTCAATAAACTCAATAATTTGGGTTTCACTTGAAAGACCACGACGGAACCCATGCTGGAATGGGTATATGGTGTTGTTGGAATCGGTATGGTTCATGATGTGGCTAGTTACGATGTGCTCCATAACCTTGCTGGAGATGCATGTTAATGACACTGGCCTTAAATTCACTGCCTTGCGTTTCTTTCCTTTTCGTGTATGGGGAATATGTTGGCTGATTTCCATACTGCTGGTATCTCTCCAGTTTCATAAAAATGATAAAAAAAATCATTGGGACCACATCATCTGCTAATAGCTAATTCTTAAAGAATCCTTGGTGTTACATTATCTGGTCCTGGAGCTTTGGTTACATTCTGCGCCCTTAGTTACTCATGAACTGTTCAAATTCAAGATATCCACCCTTCATGCTGCATCACTTAGAAAGCTCATCAGCTGTGATGTCCACTTTTTCCAAGAAGGCAACTATTTAAATTGCTCATTTTGCCTTGTCTACTGATTCCTGGGAGGAATGCCGCCCTTTTTTAGGGAGTTATAATACAACGAATTTTGGGATTGATGAGGTGAGATGACTGCGATAATTACGCCTCCTCCGCCAACATTTTCTGACCTTGCGATAGGTAGTAAAGCCCATCGGGAGAAATTGTGAATCTTATCAATCCATGTTTTAGTTCCAAAGATTAAATACGGATTTGTGCTCTTCATAAGGTTGAGTAATTCACCCTGTTTTGTTTTAACAAACTGAACGTTAGCATTCAAGAATCTTAGATTTCTCCTATACTTCCCTTTACTATGGCTATTATTGTTTCTTTCTGGGATGGAAGTACATGTACGTAGCAGGTACATAGGTGGATCACTGCCCGGGCTTTCTGGTACATGTAGATCACCAAGAACGCAAGGCACTGAAAACCACAGAAAAAAAGATGAGAAGCCGCGAGTTCAGACAACCACACATGGTGCAGTTCTAGCTATAGGCAAGGACCGAGTCATTTACGTGACACTGGTAAAACCTCGATGTCATTGACTGGCAAGCACTGTGGTACCACTGGATACAAGTATCGCAAGCTTTACCTTGTTGGTTCAGGTCTACCGGTTGATCTCAGGTACCACAAGATGGACCAAGAGAAATAAAAATTAAGGCTTTTAAAAGTTGAAGGATAATGTAAGGTCATAGGGAAGGTCAAGGTAGAAAATGATTGATACATTTTAATTGATCACCAATTGTTTCAGTGTATTAAGTTTGCATTAATAAAGTTCATAATGTTAAATAAACGGGAAAAAAACTAAAAAAAAAAAAATGGAAAAGCTCAAATTAAAGTTGGAATTTCCAACTTTAAAGTTGGGATTACCAACTTTAAAGTTTTGAAAAGCCGAAAATAAAAGTTTGAAATACCAAATTCAATGTTGAAAAAGATTTAATGCTGGAATTACTAACTTAAAAGTTGGAATTACCACTTTTAAAGTTGATTAAGCCAACAATAAAATTGGAATTAGGGTGAGTTAACCATGCATCGGACACATACCTTGCTTCGGACAACTTCAAGCAATAAACTTTCTTTAAATCTGAGTGTTCCCGTGTTTTTACTTGTTTCTGTCTTGAAGCTGAAGGTTTAAACGTTTTATTGATGCCGATTTTTATTATCATGTTGCGATAAAATTATCCCGAGAATGGCCTTGAAGTTACGTCATAATTTACATCATCAAAGGGGAGTAACCAGAATTTTATGATTTTGCAAATTTTTAAAGTTGTTGTTCTTTAATAAGACTTCAATGCAGCGAGTCGGACTCAGATGAAATTTGTCAATGATTGGTAATTTTACAGAACTTTTAAAGAAATTTCACTTCTATGTTTGTATAATTTTTTTTAGAGTTGTTTTTTACTAGTATGTTCATTTCACCATACATCGGACAGAAATTAACCATGCATCGGACACTTTCCGATGCATGGGTAATCACTTCCATTTTCATTCAAAACCTAACTGACATCTTTTTTTTGCGGAAATAGAAATTAAAAACTCTAAATTTTTAGTAAATATACAAGTTATGGATATATGACGTCTAGAAGTGGACTCAGTTTATTTTTGCAAACCAGAGTATGATTACCCACAAGACAAAGGCGCGAGTTGACATATAAATAGCATTATAAAGCCTTTCTAATGCGATGTGATGCAACTAAAATCTCTCCTCATTTGTGGATCGATGTAGTCAATCAAATTTAACTAGAAGGTTAATTTTTAAATAAAAGATAAAAATATTTCAAGATCACTAATTTTAAAGCACCGAGATAAAGCTATGACATTTTTCCGGTTCAAATACCGTTTGTCCGATGCATGGTGAATACTGTCCGATCCATGGTGAAATCTGGCTCATTTAAAAAAAAACGGTTTTTAATGATATTTTCTCAATAAATAACATATATTTGTGTCAAAAAAATTATATTTTAATCCCAAAATACATGTTAAGCTCTGTTTTGATAATATTCGCTCGGTAGTCATATCGCTATAACTTGTTGAAGTACGAGGGTGTCCGATGCATGGTGAATTCACCCTACCATTTTTAAAATCGCTCTTATAAATATGAAACAATAAATACTTTCCCTTGGATTATAATTCAGAGTCTTCATATTTTACAGACGTCCTACGAGATAAAACTTGGGTTTTACTTAAACGATCAGTAGTAGTCAAAACTTGTTGATTATCTATAGATCCTAAGATAGCCATACATGTACATACCGACGTAGTGCCCCCTACTCTTTTCCTACCCCCCCCCCCCGAAAAAAAAACACACACAAACAACAACGACAACCTAAAGAAAAAGAAAATAAAAATGTCCTACTTATTAAGATAGAACCGCGGATTTCATTGATTTGATTTTTAATGTAAAAATATTTTTAAAATGCATAAAGGATTTGAAGATATGTCCAATTATAACAAACGTTTTAATAAACTTTTTAATTATTTATTTCAGAGATCCTCTCCAGGTAGTGGGATAAGATGTATGATGAAATTTGTGTTATTCAAATATAATAAAAACCTTTTCAAATACATTTAACAATACATGTAGCACATATGAAGTTGAATTTTTCCACTGAGATTCATGTCTGACATTCGGTGTTCAGTATTTTATGTTATATACATGTATGAAGGCATAAATAGAAAATTGAAAACATTTCACAACTTGACTTTTTCCATGCCATATCAACCTGATATCTCATGGCAAGAATCAGCTAGAGAGGGAAAAGCAAAGGGTAAGCTGACACTGACCGAAAATTGACATCAGGTTTGCTGGAAAAGGGGGTGTCGTGTCTAGCATATATACAAAGCAATGATTGAAAACAGAAATTTTTAAATCTTAAGAATGACGTTTAATCAGTATTTTATTTGAAAGAAATGGAATGCTATAAAATACAATATTATATAAGAAGATTATTTTCGCAATTTTCAATGGCTGAAAAAAAAAAACAAACAAAAAAACAAAAAAAAAAAAAAAAAAAAAAAAAACGTCACGGGACATTCGTCCTTATGTGATACTGACGCAAAAGCGTCTGCGGAATATCACACAACTAAAACCTAATTCGGACAAGAGCAAAATTCCGGACTTATAATGTTTAATCCTCATAAAAGACAGTTCCGGCGTTCCATAATATATTATCATGACCGGGAAATAAGATATTAAAGCCTGCATCAGCCTGTATGTAGGTATCAGCATCATCTTACAGCATTGCAGTGGAAGGTCATCAATTCCTTTATGTGAAGATGACAAAAAATATTCAGGTGATTTTCTCTTCTTGAATTCTCGCTCGTTTTTAATGATATTTTCTCATTTATACCATAAAATTGTGTAACAAATTCATACTTTAATCACATAATATATGTTAAGCTCCATTTTGATAATATATACCGCTAGAATTTGTTCAAGTACGAGGGTGTCTGATGCATGGTGAACTCACCCTTTAGTAAATCCGGCATTTTTTTTCTGCGTGATAAAGTTTATTGTTGTTGTTCTGTAGCATGTTATTACAGCGTTTATAGAGCTACTATATATTTATTTATATTTTATATATAGCATTATATAAGTACTAAAAGACTGTTAAAGGCTTTTAAAAAAAGTGCAATGTACCCCTACTATGTTGAGAAGTAAATAAAATAACCTCCTCTTGACCTGCTATGTACCCTTGAATATATTAATCTTTATTAAACTGCGTATTCTTACTATGATATTATAAAATGTATTTTTTAACATTATACAAAAAGTCGAAGCAGAGAGGTATATACGCCTCTGGTCGAAGCCAAGCATATCATTTTCATGACGTCATTTGTCCTTGCAATGACGTCAAGATCCTCTTTTGCTGCAAAATAATGAGGTAAGATGTTATCTAGAGATAAGTATAATACAAATTACATTGAGTGATTTTTATGTATTACAGTCCTCAATCATCATTATAAGATTATAATCGTTGACATGAAAACATGTTACATTCATACATGAACGACTGTGCTAGGTTCCACAGTCCATGCATACGTACTTGACGCCATACTTCTTTTTTTTTTATCAAACAAATAGCCACCTCTAATGAATCAAGTAGGGTGTTTGTTGGGGGGGGGGGGGGGTATATTGCTCTTACAAACAGAAAGTATATCTTAGGAATTACACGAATTGTATCTGACGCAGTGGAGAACTCATAAATTGGGAGACTGCTGGGGGATGGATAGGAGGGGGTATTAGGAGGGATACTGCTCTCTGAACTCTCCTCCTTTATATATATAATATTTATAACTGCTTGTTTTCCCAAGAAACAGAGTCAAACCTCTCCTTTTTATAAAATGACAGGATGGTTCAGGCGCGGATTCTGGATGTTTTTCCAGGGCTGGGGGTTGGACCCACATCAACTGTAAAATATGTCAGACTCTGATTTTTTTTGCAAAGAAACAAATTATACAAACAAACCAAAAAAAAAAACTATTAAAACCTGAAACGTATTTTGTGGGGGTAGGGCCTGGGGTATGAAGGCACCTTCCTTAGTCAATTTTCTTCAGATACACAGTTCTATCCTTTAAAACGGGTCCAAGTGTCCTACACAGGGTTAAGATTTTTTTTTCTGTTATTGTTTAAAGTTTTATATACATAGAATTTTAATAACTCATAAATTCCAGGGCCTGAAGGGGAGGCTGATACAACCGCCCCCTTCTAGATCCGCGCATGAAATTGGAGGTTTTAGCTGGGACAGCGCTTTAAAGTATTGAATAACGCTCTTTTTAAACACGGAAAGTTAAGCAATTTAATTTGAAAGCAAGTGAAGTTTCACTTTTGAAAATGATCGGGGTAATCGCAATGTGCGCATTATGTTATTTAATTATATTACATATTTAGACCAAAAAATGATAGTCTTGTTTCCTGCTACCAGCCTGAAAAAATAGGGTAGGTAGGTAGGAAAATTATTTTATTTTTTTTTTAATTTTAATTCTTTTTCCAACGGTATTTTTTGGATATAAACTAATACAAAACCAAATTAAACATTTCATAGGTCAATATTATCTTTTAAATTTAAATTTCATGTCTTTTGATGCACAACTCAAGTGGTATTTTATGAAAGTCCGTATTTAAAACATACAATTTCATGAAATACCACTTAAATATATTTTTTTTCCAGTTTGGAACATGAAATTCCTCGAATTCCAAGTTTTTTTTGTTTCCAAAACTAAAAAAAAAAAAAAAAAAAAAAAAAAAAAACTTTAGGGTCGGGTGCTAAAAAAATAGGGTCGGTCGGGTAGCAGGTAACCAGACTATTATTATTATTATTAATTTTTTGGGGGGCCTTATATATTTTATCATCCCATGGAAATTTTCATATTTTATATAGCTGAAAAAAATTCAATTGTTCCAACAAATATCATAGCTTTTAATAAGGAGGACACAAAAATCTTATATTTCTTTAACATAGGAACACATTGCGAATAATCTTACAGAAAAAAAAAAATCTTCATCTCAAATAAAATATTACAGCATTGTCTAATTTTCATGTTAGTTGCAAGACTTTTGTAGAAAGGTCTACAGTTTTATGTGACTGATAATTAACAGTTTTCTTTTAGGAAATATTTGGAAACGACGTTGTTACACATCTTCATTGTAATATTTTGTGGATTCCTAAGGTAGGCTGTACGTCTTTAAACATGTAAGTGTAACCTGGGAATACTGTTGACTTACAGTATGTTTAACTGTTGATTTAAGAGTTAGGCTATAAACTGATTCTATGAAAGCAGAAACATTATAATTTCAAGGTTCAACGAATTTATTTATAAAAAAAAGCACTAAAAAATTCAATTTGCTTGTCGTTTGGGAATTTAATTTAAGGCGGAAAAGTCAATTTTCAACTCGGACAGGGTCCTTTTACCGGACCTGGATGCAATGGATATTATTAAAGCTTTAATATATCTGTACCATTTTTTCATCTAGTGCACTCTAAAACTATAGTTCATTTATGTCTAATCCATGTTTAGAATACATGTATTTGCGGTATTGACATTTAAATGATGCAACACAATTTCAGCATGTTTTGCGTAGATAATCTTTTTTACAAAAGAGTAATTTATCTCAGTAAGATTTACCTCTCTTATCAGAGAGTCGATGAACTTTAAGATATGGGGAACTGTATCGGAAGTGAATCTAAGACAAGCAATATTTAATTTTTGGTCCATCTTCTTTCAGAGAAACGGAAGCTAAATGCACCAGACAATCAGAGTGCACATTCGAGTAAGTATATTAACATTAATATTTATAGGAATTATTCATTTTTTTTTCTTCAATTTTAATTTTTCTGACCAAAAAGCTCCGGACAATCATTACTTTGTGAGTTACATGAACTGTGACGGTCAGATAGGTTAGTTCTCTGTTTGTCAGATAATTAAATTAGTGTGATTAGTAATTAGCTGATAATTAGAGCTCCTACCTCGAGATCGAAAGGTTCGAATCGATATCTGTCGCATTTTCCAATCGTATTACTTTTGTGTTGTGCTCATGATGTGGAAGTGACCGATGATTATATCCACCACAGATCCACTGCATGAAAATTTGGCTTTACAAAACAAGTAAAGATAATGTAAATTTAATATTTACAATGCCTTTAATTGGCTTTTCTGAAAAAAGTCAAAGTTGGAAAAGGTAACCTTTACATTAACTTTACATGCACTTAAATATGATGTAATGTCCCACTTTTTCTTGACTTTACAAAAAAGTAAAGTTAATATTTACAAACATTAAACACAGTATTTGGGGGTACATTAAATCTGATAATTACAAATATTAAAATTAATTAAATACCATCTTTAATAGCCACAAAAGTTAGTACATCTAATTACTGTTTTCCATTCTTCTGAATAAAGCTTGTGCATATGATAAATAAGCTTTTCCTTCCTTAATATACTTGCCATATATGGGGAAGAGGGGTCACCTCTTAATTTGTTGCATCTACTGCCACTGTGTATCAGTGTCAGGATATAATAAATTAAAATGAAAAAATATCATCATAATAAAAATTTTGTTATAGATTTAGGACAGCTAACTAAAGAGGCGACTATTTTTTGTTTGATGCGCGGGGGGGGGGGGGGGGGGGGGGGGGGGAGATTACTAACCTCCAAAATGTAAGATATAATCTCATCTCAACTGAAAAAAGGAATAATAATCTTTCCTTGTCTGATGCCATTATTGTCTTTTCCTCACTGAAATAAGAGTTTCTTAGTCAGTTTATTTTTTTCCTTTTGTAGTGGCAATAAGGGGGGGGGGGGGGTCAAACTTTGTTCATTATAGATAAACATGAATAATCTGTCCCTGATTATTAAGGAAATCAAATATTCTGTTCATCACTGGCTGGAAAATAATTAATCTGACTTAGCTGTCAAAAAATTACCTTTTCATAATTTATCTTTTGTAGAAACAAAGAGTGGAGAGCTAATGCATGGTGCTAAGTATGGAAAGGTCTCTTGTGGATTGGTTGTGCCAGAGACAAA